TATCTACGATGAAATCGGACACCTTCATCATATACAAGCTATTACAATCGTAAGTAAAATATTGGACGATGACATAAAATATTGCCGTAACGATTGAAACCACCTTAACTTCGCACGAAATTGCAGCAGAAACAACAAGCTCTGGAAGCACGACTGACACAGCTGGAAGCGTCGACATACGCATCAATCTCGCTACTACTTCGACAAGAGCTCAGACGAGCTGAAAGAAGGAAAATCACCCCATTGAGCTCTGCATCACCCCGGCCCATAATATCACTAAGCCTTGTTTCTTTGAGGTAAATTTGAGCTAGATGTTCACGCCACACTAAGGAACATTACGAGTCAGCACATTGATATATAGCCCTCTCGCAGAGTCGACGCTTAGGAGGAGGTGTAATTGCTCACCTCCCCTCACAATAAAAAAATAATCTCTTCCATTACATGACCGATAGATGCTTTTCAGCATCTTGGCAGTTACAGTACACCTTATTATGGACTGAATCTTTCGCCTACCCGCAACACATACAATTACTCATCAGTGTCATACGATTAACAAACAACAGCAACACTACCGTAACACCGAAACTTTGTGCTCCTCCTCCAACATATCATAACTCTTCAAAAAAAAACATATAAATCTTGACACCTTCGCCGGTATAAAAGAGCCAAACCCCCTCCTCAAACACAGATCGACGAGCATTTCTCTATCATGCCCTTTCTTCCATTCTCATAATTTCCTCTAAGCGGAACTGCCATTATTGACACACATAATCTTGCGTCTCCGTCACTCTTTTGTGTCCACCAAGAATACCGACTAACGACTAACCTCTGCTTTTCAGATATGTCTGATAATCAGAATCTCGACAATATTGTCGACGATAACACTGACGACGACGACAACGAAGATCAACTTCAAATGGACGACGAAGAAGATGAAATTCCCTTCGATCACGACGACTTCAACAAGGCAGTGCCAAGCCACCAAGAACCTCAGCCAAATGTATCCGACGAGTTGTAGGCTCCACAGTCAGCGATTGCCACCCTCACAAGGACTGTTACTAACAATTCGCCGGTATAAAAGAGCCAAACCCTCTCCTCAAACACAGATCGACTGCATTTCTCTATCATGTCCTTTGTTCCAGTTTTTCATAATTTCCTCTAAAGCGGAACTGCCATTATTGCCACACATAATCTGCGTATCCGTCACCTTGTGTCCACCTCTACGGTGAAGACCCCCACTTGTTTTCGTTGAGAGCTGTAAAAAGATACTAAAACCCGCAAGCCGGTTTCACAAACTATTATTTCCTGGAGGAAGTTCTCAAGCCGTGTGGGCCAACTCCCATTTCGGAGAAGCCTACTGGTGCTTCCAGCAGGATTCTGCTCCAGCACACAAAGCAAAGATGGTCCAGGAGTGGTGCGCCGAGCACCTGCCCGACTTCATCAGACACGACGAATGGCCCTCCAGTTCTCCTGATCTAAACCCGATGGATTACTCTGTGTGGTCCATCTTGGAGAGCAAAGCGTGTTCTACCAGACATCCAAACTTGGACTCTCTTAAGGCGGCGCTTTCAAAATCTTGGGACGAAATCGATGACCAGTACCCACATGCGAAGCATTTGTCGAACGTCTGAAGGACTGTGTGAAGGCTAAAGGAGATCATTTTGAGAAGCATTAACATTTTTTGTATTGTCATGTTTGTAGTAAATAATATTGATAATTAGAATTGATTTGTGAGAATTATTGTCAAAATGCCATTGAAAATTTAGTGCACCAGTAATTTTGCCCCACCCTGTACTACTATATCTATAGCTATATTCTATACTATATGTTATACTTGTAAGGCTTATAAAGGCGCAATAAAGGTCAACAACATAGACCAAGAGAGTACACCTGTGGGAAAGACAACAGTCCTTCAGAGAAATTCTTTCTTCAGGCTTATAATACCTTCTTGCCTACTGGACAAGCAAGCAGTCCTTGAATCAAAGAACTGAGAAATGACAGGGAGCACCTCAAAAGCAACGAAAATTTCGTTTTGGGTGGGGAATGGGAGGAAAAGTCCTCCTAATTACCGAATAGCTTCGTACGATAGAACAAGCGGTGGAGCAGGATCAAGAATCTGGCGACGCTTTGCTCTCCCGGACCGATTGTTCAAGGTACAGGCTCAGAATGAAGAGGTCGTCCCTTTTTGAGGCATTTGGCTGCACTAGAAGCGCGAGTTCGACGTTCAAACAAACAATGTGCTAGATTTTGTGGTCAGAAACACGAGTGACTTCAAAAGAATCGGCGACGAGTTCCGCAAAGAGAAAAGAAAAGCTGAGAGAAAGCTGGATGGTGCACAAAAGCGCGTCTGGAGCTGGACAGAAAGCAGCTCCTTCATATTCTCCGGGGAAATGCCTCTGGAGGCACAAGCAACTACGGAACAGATCAGAAATTTAAGAAAAGGGAGGGCTGAAATAGCTCGTTTCAAAGAAATACGGGCGAAAGAGCGAGAGGAGACGGGAAGACCTGGTCCGAGTCGCGTACAAGTGACAGCAGATGCCTCAGGTGGAACAAAAAAACGCTGCATTGGAAAAAGTGCCGATTGAGATGGAAACTGATCAAGAATTGTTCGAAAAGATGGTTTAAGAAGTACAAGGAGACGAAGAGATGACGGATACAGAACAAGAAGAAGAACGTGTAGACCCTTCAGCACGAATTTCCGAACTCTGCCAACAAGCCCTCGAGATCGAACAAGTTCTTCTGACGTTACCCTATAAAAAGATTGGAAGCCAGCAATAGGATCACCAAATCTGTGTCTTTTGTGACGCTGTAGACCTTCACTTCTCAGATTCTTGTCTGGAGATACAAGATGAGCACAATCGAACACAAATAAGACGAAAGGTTTGGCGCGAACGTTACTGCTCTCGCGTCAAGTGCAGATTTCGTCCAAATAGTTGCTATTACTGCAACAGGATTCAGGGAATTTGATTCCGAAGAAAGGAATTCACCACGCACACTGCGTACGGTACTAGACCAAAGAGCGGAACGAATAAAGCGGCTGGAAGAGGAGATCAACATCTACAATTAGAGGGGCGATTCAAACGGGCGGAGTATCGACACTTCGACGAAGTTTCAAGTGAGATATTTTGGCGATTGTAATTGTTATTTTCTATTCATTCTTATGTAGTTAAGTATGTGTTGTCCTTTTTGCCATTTACTTGTTGGTATGTTGGTTCTTTGAAGCTCGTGGCTGACGATTATGTTATTAGATATTCAAAAATAAGTGCTTCATTCAGTATAAAAGCAGGTGGGGAGAAGAAGCTGGGCAGTTCTTGCTCCAAGCACAAGTCTTCGCTTACAAGTTTGCCTAGAAAGAAAGGAATACAAGTTCTTGCTCCTCCGCCTCATCGTATAACTTCGTATAATGTATGCTTGGGTCAGTATTGAATTTGTGTCGAATATAAGCTGTGCTTTATACAGAGTTAGGAACAGTGAATATAATTTCCGTGTGGAACAGAGCGAAAGGCGTGGGTTTTAGTCTCCGTATGAGCCAAGGTTTATTCACCAGTATTCTTGTGGAATATTTTTTGCGAAACGCCCCAAAGCTTTGGCAGACATTTTACTGCTTGTCATTTTTCTATTGTTCGTGCCTTCGAGTAACGTCCTTAAGTATGTATTCTTTGCTCAGGCATTTCGCGTGGATGAGGCTAGTCAAGTGTTTGTGCTATGAAAATACATCTCTTGGAAATACTGTTGTGTAGTGTGGAATCACTCTTTGATGGATGAGGTTCGCAATATATGAGGCTTTGGAGAAGAAAATGAGGCTACAAAAGCTCACAACATTACTTTTTACCGCTTGTCTTCAACCCCAACTATCCGCCATCAGTAATGGCCATCCTACAGCATTCAATTGAATGAGTTGAATTTAATGTCTTCTGGTTAGAATTTAGGTTGACGTGGTTCTGCCGTTCATGGACTTCATCTTTTGAATGGGAGACACGGTGGTTTAATCCGTTTGCTTTATTACGTATCCCTATCTAACGCAGGTGAGTACAACTTTTTTCCGTGAGAATAGTATGCAGTTTTTCACATGAGAATTCCCTCAATCGGTCTTTCCAAGCAAACTTTTCGCTTAGCTCAAGAAGGCTCTGGAGAAAATCTGAAAGCATCGAAATCACGGATATTGTCAGATGCGTTCCGTTCTACCTCTTCCAATGCCTATCTTTTTATGCTCGCTTGGCGCTGTTGTTATTGATTGTTTCTTCACTGCTCTGTTAATTTGTGCATCTATTCGGTGAATTTTTCGCGCGTGAATTAATCACTGCCATGCGTCTTGGAGCCGTCAAAGTAGTAGAACATGTTCCCTCGTGGATTCGTCCACCCTAGGCGGAAGTCAGACTTTGCGAATTTAGCGATTGGCTAGCGTCCGCGGTCGCATTCCGCCAACGAATCGCTCTATTATCTGGTACCACTTAGCGACTCACTCGATTCGCAAAGTCTGATATCGGCCTTACAAGCGAACAAGTGCGCATTTCATAGGTAAGCGTATAATAAGCCTTCAATAATATTTATGTAGATTCAAAAGCACAGTTCTTCTGTATTCTTAGAATAATTCCAGTCCCACTATTTACCCACGTTAGATCACCTAAGTTTGTTTAGAGTTGTCTAGAGTTTGCCCTCCAATCGTGTAGGTAAAGTTATGACATAAGGATAAAAATTTCATTTGGATGATATGCACACATAAGGGCCACAATGAAACATATATGGGCACATTCGATATATGGAAGTGACTTTAGCGGAAAGAATCTGTTTAGAAAAAAAAACAACACCGGTACTCGCGTAGACGTGGACGATCATGGCAGTTAAAGAAATTGTGGAAAACTGTCCAAGAAAAAGAAAACTTCAACAAACAACGGGAATGCGCATGCTAGTGCCGAAAGGCGTAGCTTGAACTAGGTCCTCAATATTAGTTGAGCACGAACAAATGGCTGCAAAGCGCATACTTTTGTCAATAACAATTATCAGAGCAACAACAATGAAAGCAAGAGAAGCGCTCCGAGTCGGAGATCTGCGGTGGTTGATGAGGAATCGTCGATTGAGGATTGTGGTCCCAGTCGAATCGTACGTGGAGCACTAAGCGGACCTGTGCCACCAGAGTTGTAGCCGGCTACCTAAACTGGGCGTTTTTATTGATAGGCTCGTGAAAATGAGAAAAAATGAGGTAGGTAATCAAAAGAAAAGGGAAATTAACCTGAATGGTATACATGTACATCAGACGAAGACCGTCTAACCGTGCACTGGGTCGATCCGGATTCGATAGGCGACTGATTGGCATCGTCAGCACGACAGCTTCGGAAGCTGTCTCAGAAACGTATACAAAAATCTGAAAAATCACTTATGTAATGAATTAATTGTAGATGGAGCTTATGTATGGGGAGGCTGCTTTATGATCATGCATTTTCGGAGTCAGAAGTCGAAATTCGGAATTTCTCGCATTTCACTCGCATTTTACTCGCATTTTAAAGGGATGGTGGTATTATTCTCTGACGTTCATATGTACAGTAGAGATTTCGATAAAGTTCAAACTCC